TAAAGGTGTTTTTATTGAAATTCCACTTTTCTTTTCTTCTCTTTTACATTACGTCATGATCCTGTTCTAAGGGATCAATTATTAATTGCACGTCGCTTATATATACGGATTATGGAGAGCCAACTATATTGTTCAAGAGTGTTGCAAAGACATAGTCCTTCCATTTACAAATTACAAAACAAAGTTGGAATCTATTATTATTCTAAGATATAAAAAAATTTAAAAAAAATTATTAATGATAACTTTTCAATATTACCCTTTAAATAAAAAAAGAATTGAAATAATATTATAACATAATGATTAAGTATGTAAAGATTTTTTTTTAAGTTTAAAATTTTGTTTTGAAAAAGTAAGTTTATAACGTGTCATTATTATATTTTATTGATATACTTAATTTTTTTAATTTTGTTTTATAATTTGGAACAAAGAGAGTCTTTATATATAAGATATTTTTAATTGAATCATGCAAATTTGCGTAATAAAGGTTAGTTATATATTTAAAAGTACAGTAATATTTCAGTTATACTCCTAATTATTATAAATAAAAAATGAATACCTTTTTTAAAGTAAATTAATAAGTAATTATATTTTTTTTCTAATGTAATAAGGGTATAATGGTTTATTTATTAAAAAAATATGTTAATAATTTCTTATATTTAAGAGAAAAAAAAGATTATAAAAATCCTCTTTTATATGTATATATAGAGGGACGGAAGGAGTACATTCATTGGAATCCACCAATTATTTTTTAATCCACAATTATTCTAGCTATATTGTTCAACGAATTGATAAAATCGAATATATATAGATTCAATATAATCAACTACGTATCATATTAGTGCTCTCCTGTGGGGTTGGGGTGTATTTTTTTTATCCGTATTGACAGCAAATAGAATATGAAATTGTCGTTTTGTAACGTTTAGTTTTAATTAATTAAATCACTATATATATTATCATGTACGCAGACATGTTAATTAGATCCCATCAGACATCAGAGTCTATGCATAAATTAAAAAAAAAAAAAAACAAGCTGTTTACCCCAAAAAAAATATAAAAAAAAACATCAAATATCGTCAAATGAAATACTTGTGTGCCAAAAATCCGAAACATTTATAATTCAGAAGAAAAAGGACGAGAAAGGACAAATCAATTTGCAGCCAATACAAAAGACGCACATATGGTGGAAACCAAATTAATTAGCCATAAAGTTACATAAACTTCATTAATTAATGGAAGATCATATTAGTGATCAAGGCTAAGATATATATATATATATATATATATATATATGGACCACCATATTATAATCTATCATGGTTTGACACCAGCTCCTTCAGTTGTAAGAGGGATTGGCCAACACATAAGCCTCCACAGCCTTGAAAAGTCCATCTCCCTTCTGCTTCCCAATCTTGAGCTCTTCTTCGCTAGGCTTGGCATCTCCCTTTGTCACGTAATTAACGGTCACCTTAACGACGGATCCGCCATTAGGGGCAGCCGTCAACTTGGTCTCAACGACGATCTTGTCCAATGTCTCAGGGAAAGTGTCGCTCTCTACCAAGGTATAATTGTATACGAAGTTGTCCTTGTCCACGGCTTCTACCTTGTGCTTCGCATAGTGCAATTGTCCTCCTGCATACATAGATACCACGTTAATCCTCTGAAATCTCTCAATGCTAAAGATTCATAGACAGATTATATTTAAACTGATTAAAGAAATGGACCTTCGAGGTAGTTGATCTTCTTGATGGTTCCAGGGGCACCGGTTCCTTCGAGAATCTCGACACTCTGGACGGCGTCAACAACCTTGGGGATGAGATTGTCGCCGTCAAAGACCAGAGCCTTGTAAAGCGTGGCAGGGGCAACGGCGGAGATGTTCTCTTCGGAGAAAGTGAAAACGCCCATGATGAGTATTTAATGTTGAGAAGTGAGGACGATGACAATGGACAGTGGAGGAGAAGGTACGGAGTAGCTAGATGTCGATTATGCTTAGCTAGCAGTGATATGGTTCATGAGACGATGTATGGCACGTATTTATAAGGACTGGATAACTGAGGTTAGGTGATGAAGTTTCACAAATTAAGGTTGTTGTGTTTGTTTTCATCGACATACTTTTTGTGTTTTCAACTTTGTTGACGAAGAGGGAGATTTGTCAGAAATGGCGGATTTGGGTTTTCCGAGGTTAATCTAGAAGGCGTGCTGCGTAGGAGAGTCTTGGTCTCACAACACATGGTCGGCCTGCTTCATCGTTTAAATTCCGATGGTAATGGAATCATTTATCGAGCCATCAACAACCTAAGATGTTCAAAGTCTTTTTAATAATAAATGTGACAGTTACTTTTAATAAAAAGATTCTTATATACTAGTACATAATAAAAAATAAAAAAAAATGTGACAGCATTATTAAGCCTCTAATAACTCATTTTAAAAATTTTTGTCAGGATTTAACTATCATAAATTCCCTCAATTTGGACTTGTCATTGGTGTCACTGAAATAAATAAACATTCATTAATCATGAATCATACAATACTTGTGAAATTATTACAAGAAACGACCGCACACGATGATAAATACAAGCAAAACATAAAAACAATGAAAATTAATCATGGAAATACCATCACCACATTGAAGGTGCAGAAAGTCACAATTGCAGAATGCTCATCACTTAATGAGCAATCTAGACTATTTAGATTGTAAATCTAGGCAGTCCAAATTTATCCATTTTATTTTGTATTTTATTATATATTTATTAAAATATAAAATTTAAATATTTAATAAATCTATTTTATTATCAATTTGGACAACAAAGGTTTAATCTAAATGATTTAATTTAATATTAATTTTTTAAAAAAATTATAAATTGACTATCCAAATATACTTTGAATCCAGTCTTAGTTAATTTATAATTTTTTTAAAAAAATAATATTAAATTAAACCATTCAAATTAAATCTATATTGTTTAAAGTGATAATAAAATAGATTCAGTAAATTTTTATTATAAAAATAAAATAAAAATAAAAAAAATAAAATTTATAAAATTTAGACTGCCTAGATTTCATCAAACCATTTCCGTGTGTGTAGGGATCCATTATGGACATGAGGATTAGCCAAGAGGCAAGCTTAGACAGCTTGAAGACGACCTGAAGCCTTGACTTTGGAGAGGCTGGCATCTTGTTCACTTATATTATGATTTTTACGTTCACATATACTTGAACTTGAAATCTCATATATACTTGAGTATGATTATAATCCCTTCTATTAGGACCAATGCATGCTAATAACTAAATGATATGTTATTCGTTTTCCTTAATATCATGGGCTGGGCTGCTGGGGTCCCTATGATGCTATGGTGCTTGAACTTTGAAGGTGACACTTCTCACATATAAGTCCAAATGGCTTGCAATATGATGCTTTGTTTGGGACTTTATATTCTTTCATTTATAATATTTAATATTTATTTACTATTTTCTCTATCCTAAATTATAAGATACTTTTAAAAAAGATTAAGCATTTTAAAATATAAGATACTTTGATAAAAATAAGATTTCATTAATTATGCTTTTTTATTATTACCCTTCCTATTCGTTCTCTTTCTTCAATATTCTTTTATCAATAAAGTATTAAATGAAGGACATTTTAAAATTTTATATTTTTGTTTTAAAAAAGTAAAGTTGTAATGTATATTTAATGAGCTTTATTGATATGTGATATTTTTTCTAAAAGTATCTTATAATTTGGAATGGAAGGAGTATGAACTATTAATTTCTTTCTTAATAAGATATAAAAATAAATAACCTTAGCACAATGCTCCATGCTTCGTTATTATTTACTTGCCATTAATGCTATTTTTGAATGGAATTCATCTAAAAATATATGATCATTTCATATTAGATGAAAACAATTCTCAATAACTCTTTCATTTGCCATGACTATTAATAAAAGTCAAGATTAATTTTTGCATCATCTTGAATTATATTTCTAAGCCAATCTTCACATATAATCAATTATATGTTACAATTACACTATCCATGGTTAGAAGTATGGATGGATTGAAGATACTACTAAAAGATCGTGATTACAAACGAAAATACACTACATCAAATATGATTTACAAAGAAGTTTTGAATTTTTCTGTAAGTCAATTAATGGTTATGTGTAAGCAATGGATAAATGATTTCATGTATTTTGTTGTAATGTAACATTTGCTAAAGGTATTAGCTCCCCATGCGATAGTAAAAGTTAGGAATTTAATTTAATGTGTTTTAATTTTAATTATGTTTGAAGATGTTTCACTTCACACGTAATTCAATAAGTAATGAAACATATCATTGTAATATGCTTTTTTTATTTTTTAGAATGCGCATGATGCTAATCTAAATGAAACTTTTTTTGGCTAAATAATATTGAATTCATATAATTAAATGCTCCGTGTATAGCACAGGCAGTAATGGCTAGTTGTTTAAATGTCTGGTTATCGTTCGGCATGGAACCATGCCTTACATCTTCATCCCCCTTTTCATCCCCAAAACAAGAGGATGGGTCCTCTCAAAAAGAACACCAAAAAAAAAAAAAAAACCAAGAATGTATGAAATGAAACGAGAGGACAGTAATGGGGAATAAACATGTAATTAACTCTTGTCTTTGTTTGATCTGGTCCACACGTTTCTTCAGCTTGTTTTGGGAACACTGAACTCAGTTCTCACCTCTCTCTATCATTCTTGAAAGGGTAGGACAACAGCTGATGGAAATCTTCAGCTGAAAAACTTGTTGCACCAGAAACAGAGACAGCTCAGACGTATCTTACCACAGACCAAGTGGGTTCCTCACACAGAATAGTCTCACAAGCATGGAACTTAATTCTACTTCCACTCTGATTTGGACCAAGCCTTTTCAATTCCAAATACTACTCTAAACTATTGAATTAAAATTCATTAATAGAAAAAATTGAATTATATTGGAATGGAGTACTAAACATTAAAAACTTGATTCAACCGGGTAGCAATGACATAAAACGCAGTTCTTCCACCTTTTCATTATTGCGCAAATAGTTACAGGTACATCACCAATGCATACATACATAAATACATACAATATATATATATATATAACACGATCTTGACTACTACTTTATATCCCTCCTAGCAACTACTAACTTACCACGATCTCAATAAACGCCTCCCTCATACTTATGGCTCCTGCTCCTAAAGCATACTAGCTAACAATTTCTGTCACAAGTTAATCTTCAAGAATAGTGGAACTCAACAACCCTTGGATGAACTCATATCTCCGAGCCTTCTCCATTTTATCCTCCTCCGACGACTGCGACTCTTGAGGCTTTCTGCAGCCACACACTTGAGTTAGAAAGTCAGTAATAGATAAGTTCTGAAAGACCAACAGAAAAAAATAGCAGTTCGTATATGCGTTATATAGGAAGCTGAAATGAGGTGATAACACATGTCTTTAGACACGAAACCAAGACTAGTTCCAATAGGCTTCATCATGAAGGCACTGACTGGTTCATGCTACTTAACTTCAGCAAAACAGAATTGCAATGAGTTTTGCCACATGCAGAATCTAAAACAAAGCACATCACATTCATCCACTTCTGAGACTCCCACATCAAATATTTCTGCAGCTACGAGTTCATTTTTTAACACAAAGAGAAGCTTAATCAAACCATTCCTACCTTTCCAACAAATCATCTTTCGAGCCATCCCTTACTGGGTTTGCTTCAACTGAAGGACAAGACATTAAACTCAGGGATTCATCAGCAACAACTGAGTTATGGATAAACGATGACAGCAGAGGATCAGGAGTTGAATTGGAGGGCGCTGCATATGAAGAACCTCCAAAAAGAGACTGCAGAGCTCCTTTTCTCAGCAACGAAAATGCTGAACCAGAGCCCCCTCTTCTATACCTCCTCTTGTGATGAGCGTAATTTGTGGTTAAGGAACAAAAGTGAGATCCCCAGTCCAGCATAGTTTATAAAAACTAAACTAGCAATCCAAGACATTTTACCCAAGTATAGAGACTTTAGGGGAGAATTTCTATCATGGCATAGAAATACAACACTGGTTCACCTGAGATGTGGAGTTCTTTTCTTACATGTTTAATGTGAAGGAACACAAACATACCAGGTAGGGGAGCCACCATAAGATAGTGAAAACGTTAATATCACCAAGATAACAGGCTACTGATTATAATCAAACACATTAGACGGATTCATAATTATCATTTAACAGCAAACCAAGTGCTGTGTTTATTTTTCTGAAACTTAACTCAAGTTTCATAGTGTTCACTTCTTAAAATCCATCTCACAATTACAATATTTTAATGCATACTTAAAACTATATAAGAATTGATGTAGCGTGAGAAGTTTTTCCCCAGTGAAATGTTTTTTTCCCCAAAACAGATTTAATAAATGGAGATAAAACTAAAGTAGCTATTGTATGCTCAACTAGCATCGCTAACATAGACCACAAAGCAAACAGAGAAGCCAAACATTACAGAAAGGCAACATGCTAAATGAAAGGATATCTTCAAGAAATTCCTGTGTTGCATGGTAATATGGCCAACAAGATCCATTCCCACCTTTTTAGCACAAACCGGACAGATCTGAAAATACATATAACAAAACATAATCATTTTTAGCATCAAACTTCATTGACAAAGACAAGGAAGAAATAATTTAAATAAACTCCGTAGTCCACATAATACATAGCTTAAATAATGATAAAAGTACAATCCTATGCTTGTGCATCAAATGGTCCAATTGCAATTAATGGGGAAAAAAGGAACTTTAGAATCAACAAAACTTAAACAAGATCGGGTACTATAAAAGGAACAAAACATAAAACAAATCCTCGTATTTTCTTGTTCAAAACAGTAGATCAGCTCTCTAGGTCTCTCCTTTGACTTAGCACCGGTCATCCTTGTGAATTCAACATGGAGGCACATTTAAAAACCCATATTCAGTCAAAAGATTGCATCAATAGACAGTTCCAGACAAAAATTACACTTTGCAGAAAATAATCACTTGTCACAGCATTAGAATCTCACATGTATGTTTACTGTGACAACTTGAATTTCATTTCCTTAAACGTTTGCGTGTTTAGCTCGACACGAGAAAAATATTAAAGTGTTCATGTTTAGGGAAGGACGCCGGCGGATGGAGACAAAAATCTTACATGGAATAGACTCATTTGTTTGACAATTGGTTCCCTTCTTTTCCTACTCATAACGACTAGCATGTGAAACTAAAACCATAGGAACAAATGAAAATTTATCATGCCAGAACCAAAAATAGGAGTGGTAAGTAAATAGAAAGACTGGAAATTGGGAAATTATATGAAATGAAACGAAAATAGATACCCCAGTATTGGCTTCCACAGGATGCTCCTCATCAATGTGGCAACAAAGGCCAAGGACGTCGTACTCGTCGCCACAGAAAGGACAGAGATACTCGGCCCTAAAATCATCATCTCCATCCGTATCGTCGATGCCACCAAGGCACGGATGATCTGCAAAAAGACGAATTCCACGCCGACAATTCAGTAGTGAACATGACCAAAGCACCCATCAACTTTCCCACAATTTCTGTAGAAGCAAGCAGGTGGGGGGGGGAGAACAAGCTGGAAAATTAAACCCCAAAAGAGAAGTTTCCGAGAAAAGACGAACCAGATCGAGATTGATAGCGGCGGGAAGAAGTAGAGAGACGAGCAGAAATCCAGGAATCGGAGTCCATTAAGAGGGGAGGAAAGGTGGGAACTGGGAATGTTGGTGTCGGAGGAGGAGGGTGGCAGTTCGGTGATTTTAAGCAGGAAGTGAGGCGTGAATGGAAAGTGGCTAAAAGGGATAAAAGTCGAAGATAAATGAAGAAGGAGGGGAGAGAGAGTAGAAGTGAAGTGAAGAGAGAAAGAGAGAGAGTTGATGTAGATGGAGAGTGAGGCAGTCCTCGCCGACTTAACAAATACGCGGGGTGAAACGCCTTTTTCTCTGAGCAAGCGCTTTCTCTAAAATACCCTCGTCTCTTTCATTTAAACTCGGAAATGCCCTTCATCTGGTATTTTCTTCTTATAATTTGCAAGGACGAGAATCTCAATGGCTCTCGTAGCTCAGTTGGTTAGAGCACCCGTTTAGTAAGCGGGAGGTCTTGAGTTCGACTCTCAACGAGAGCATTTTCCGTTTTTTCCTTCCCTATTTACTTAAGCATCTTTTGGACCCCACCTTCCTCACTGGACCGTCACTTGGGTGCTTCCTGCTCAATGCTACATGTTACGTGGAGAAAACTCTGCTATCTGCTGAATGCTGATCACAGAGACAGTCCTTTTATTCTGGTCCTTCATCCATGACTTTATGGTGTCCCAGTACTTAAAATCTCATTGTTTTTTGACCTCGTGTGCTGTTTCTCTTTATCAGCCCTTTCCAATTTCCATACTAGCTGTTCCATATTCCACTTATCTCACACGTAGACACAATTCAAATTCTTTACTTAGTCATTAGAAATTGTGGCCCTACTTGATACGAAGTATTGAGTTTTATGGGATTGATAAAAGAAATAAACTTTAAAATTATATTTGGTATGGTATGGGATTAAACAAAAAAAATTAAGACCTAAATCAAAAAAAAGAAATTAGCGAAAATATCCAAATGCCCTCATCTTCTTCCATCCCCCACTGCTATTCAACCCAGAAAAGAGAATACTCATTGGCTCAAATCTCCATCCCCAAACCCAGCAAATCTTCAAGGCTTCCTGAACACAAATGCATCAGAAGAAAATCGATCAAATTCAGGCATAGCTAAGCTTTACACACGACCCAGGTATTTCCAAGAAGATTTGGGCATATAGATTGTGTTCAAGAAGAAGAAATGCAGAGTGAAGAATTTGGATAGAAACTACATTTGACTTGGCCAATATTCAGGAAAAAGATACTCCACCCATAAAAGCAGAAAAAAGTAAAACTATTATTGTTCACAAACTAAAGTGTCTCACATTGCGATCAGAACTGAAGGCCAAAACTGGAGAAAATAATTTAATCATGAACTTCAACCCAGATCTAGTGAACTCGAACTTGTCAATGGCAACTCGAACTCGAACCAGTGGGAGGAAGGAGGCGACTCAAACTCAAACTAATGGGAGGAAGATGGGAGAAGAACTCAAACTAAAACTCGAAACCCGTCAATGGTGGAGGATGGCAACAGCACAGGGGAGGTATGCAATGAAAGGTACATGACATCAGTTTTAAACATGACATTATTAGTGCTAGTGGAATTAGTCATTACTTTTTAAACAAGACATTTCAAAAGTCAAATTCATATAAATGTAAAAAATAAAAAATAAAAAATTGTCTCTACTTAGGCCCGATAACATTTAAATCCAACAGTGAGATAGCCATGTCAAGAAAAAAGAACAGCATAATTGATATATCTTTATTTGATCGTGCAATTCATCATCATGCCAATATCTCTTCAACCGTACCCAAAGGCATGGTAGAACAAAATTATACAGACAGATTAATTTAGGAACGTCTATTAGATTTTTTGGCGAGAAAATATTTATTGAAATTTAAATTAAATAAGGAATATGGGGGAAAAAGAGGACTGCTCCTCGCGCGCACAATTGACTAGAAAGACATCAATTATGCTCTTAAACAAGGCATATGCCCTATACTTTTGGAGGAAAATTATTTAATTGATTACATATAATCTATATATACTAATTTATAACAAGTCAACCTATTCATAAAATTTATATACGATAATTTATAATGAGTCACGCTGTTTATATATTACATCCAGTATGACTCACTTAAAATGTCGTACAAAATACTACTTGTAGGGCACACTAATCCTGGCTGAGTGTATGGCACTCAAAAAGGGATTAATCCTGCAGGCAAGATAGTTTTCAACCCGCCAAATCACCAACACAAAATAGAAAACAACTTGGAGAGCAGAGTATGGTTATACAAACACAAAATTACCCTTTCGGAGGTGCCTCAGCTCTTCCTCCTTTTCTTTCTTAGAAAAGGCATCGCTCTGAATGCTGCTGTGGCGTTCTCGGTATTGCCATGAGCATTCTCCGACATGACTCTGAATGCTGCTGTGGCGTTCTCGGTATTGCCATGAGCATTCTCTGACATGAAAACCCCAGTGTCAGACTCAGACTGATCATAATTACAGTCATGATTCATCTCAATCTTGTGTTTAGTTGTTCCTCTATCTTGCAGTTCAATTCCAGATGCTTTATCGGCTGAACTTGATTGACAAGTAATATTTTTATCACATTCAGCCTCATCCACAAAACCAGAAGAACCATGAGTGAGCTCTGCACTATCCTCTACCATAGTTGCCGAGTTGTCATTAATTTCATTACATTTGCCACCTGTCTCATCATCATCTAGGCAAAATCCACCTCCCTCTCTTAGGTAGTTGTCGTCGTGAATTTCATTATGTTTGCTACCTGTCTCATCCTCATCGAGGCAAAATCCACCGCCCACTTTACAGTAGTCGGCATCACGAGAGCTATCAAAATTGTTCGCTCCTGCATTAGTTTTTTCTCCATCAGTACAGAAACCCCCACTTGATTCCAGATAGCTTCTAGACAAATCCTTCTTTGGAGAAAGATTTATTGTGTTTTCCTTGTGTCCGCTGAAACCAGAGTCAGCATTGCCACAAACACCATGCATCCCAGAAAATATTTCATCTATCGGCTCTTCGTTCAAGTCTGTCTTGTTGCTCAGATCAATTGAGGCATCAGCATCTTCAATTTCAACGTTGTCCATGGAATAGTTGACAATCTTCCGAGAACGCATAGACTGGAAACATTGGAGAGAAAAACAGCATCATGAAAAGTGTAAACCAGAAGTTCTGAAAAGATGAAACCGCTAAACTAGTGGCAAGATGCCGGTCAAAATATGCTTATCAGAAGAACATGAAATTATAATCATAACTAGGTATCTCACTAGAAGTATCATTGCATTGTCTTTAGCTTATAATCGACCAGGTGAAAAACAAAAGGCCAGAAAACCCATAAAAGAAAGAATAAAAAGGAAACAACCATAATTCCCAAGGGAAACGCTTCCATGCAACGCCACTCAGCAGGTGACAGGTTGAAGAGCCGCAACTAATTCAAAACGATAGCAACTTAGATATTGACAAGATAACATAATAAGTTCTACTTCTTTTGGTGATTGCGCACATATTTGATGGATGTAAAAAAGATGTGTCTCTGCTCCAACATGAAAACTAACAAAGTGAAGAGCTTCTAAGTCCCACTGAAGAAGCAGAAAAGAACGGGAAATATCTACGGACAATGGCATGGTCGATCTTTTGTGTTTTTAACTTGTCCCTATTAGTCATCCAGATCAAAATCCCCTACTGACCAGCATTTACAGATTTTTAAAAAAAAAAAAAATCTACATCATATGATAATTTTCTTCCTTGACCAGGAGAGATTTCATGGAATGGTATACAGGGGAACAAGAAACAGGTGGTTTTTTTTTGGCTTACATTCCACATCAAACAGCAAAAGTCAAGTTTAAACTCCCCATCAACTCCTCCATCAGTGTTTTTTTTTTCTCTCTTAAAAGAATAAAGAAAGAAAACCGCATAACAACAAAGCATCTAAAGATGAATACTATTCCAACATTTTTTAAGCTATCAATTCGTGGAAACAGGACAAAACGTACCCTTCGCACCTCTTCTGTCCCTCTTGAGTTTCTACCATGCACTTCGGACTCATGGTCATCACTGTCACTATCACTAGATGTAGTTTTACGTGAATCAAAACCAAGACTTCTCTTCCTCCTTCCTCTTTGAACTCCCACACCTTTGCCTCTGCCTTTGCTACTTCTCAAACCACCCCCATCTCTTGGCTGAGTTGGCTCTTCTCCTGTCTGCACATCTACCTCAGTCAGACCAGAAGCTGTGGCAGGAGCATTCAATTTACCCTTTTTCCTTGACTGTGTCTTAGCAACAGTATCACGAGAATTCTTCCTTTTCCTTGACTGTTTCAAATTCAATGGCTTCATGTCAGCAACGCTTTCTCCTGTTTCCTTAAAAGTCTCTGATATGCTAATCCCAAGTTCAGCAGGAATTCCTGTATCATTCTTCCCACTCTTTGACAGCAAGTTCTCCGCAGATTCATTTGTCAACTCTGAAGAGTGATTTCCAGTGATTCCTTTCACTGCTTTCTTAATTCGCTTACTGCGAATTTTTGCGAATCTTTCATTGAAACTATAAAATGCTTCCAATCGCAGTTGAGTCTTGAATGAAAAGATTAAAACCAAAAAAAATCAGCATGTTATTGCATACAAAATTGAACACGTAAAAAATATGCATTAGATAATCCACTGTTGAAAGCTTTTGAAATTTACATGGACCAAAATAATTTCATCTTTTTAAGATATTAAATGCTTGATGACATCAGCATGTTTAACAAAAGAAGACAGAGAACCTCTAACCTCATGCTTGTTATATTCTTTTAAAACAGGTAAAAGCAACTCATCTGCTTTCTGACTAGTCCAGCCAAACTTCTCCCAGCACAATCTGTATGCAAATAGCTATTAGTAGCATCATAAAATGTAGGAAAACAATTTGAAGGTTGCCATTAAATTCAGAACTTGCATAGTTCTGTCAATATGTTGACCCTCACAAAACAATATCCCTTTCTGATGTTTGAGCAGAGAGCAAAAACCAATATTATAATTTCAAAAGTGCACATGCGGATAATAAAAGAAAGAGGCCTCATTGACTTGATTGAATTATGACGTCCATGTGAGAGACAACCCTTAACTCCCCCCCTTCTTAATGCCCTTCCAAAGTCAGCCCACCATGCCAGATGCTCACTTAATGAAAGTTAAAAGCTAATATAGAGAAGAAAAAATGTAATCTAAACTCACTTGCGAAGAACAAGATGATCTGGCTTTCCCCAAGCAAATGGATCCGTTGACTTGTCCACTTGAGGACAAGAATAGGCAGATATAACTGTTTCACTTGGAAAAGAAGAAGGAATGTGCCAATTCTTGCTCACATTTCTCTGTATAAGAAACCATAGAAGGAAACAATTCATGTCAAATATGAGACATTATATGCAAGAAACATCCATAATATAATGATAACAGATAAAAAGCAGAAAATATGATTACATGTTTATTCATAAAAATCTGCTTGATTTCTTGGATGTCATCTGATGAGTCATTTTGTTCCTGAGCATGGAAAACATTTTGATCCACCATAGTCTCTTCTACATTGCAATTTGTGCCAGTAACGTTTTCCTTCAACTTTTGACCCTTTCTTTCGGGTGGTGGATCCTCTTTTTGTTTCAAAACCTTCCAAAGATGGTGGGATCAGGTGACTCAACCCACTGCCGGAATTTCAGAAGGCCATCTTCCTCAGGGAATGCATTTACAACCTCAATAGCATTTACAATTCCAATTCCACTACAATGACATGCCAAATGAGAAGATGCAGTCAATTTACCTAAATCTAATATATTCAAGCATATCACTGAACTGCAAGGTAGTTCTGTAATCAGACATCCACCATATATTGTAAGAAAACATTTCAGACAAGAAAGATAAACCCAGATAGAGTTCAAGGCAGACAGTAATTGCATCACTAGCCACAACAATTCTAAGGCCTGTTGAGGCACTAGTTATATATAACACCTAACACCCTCAGTATAATCACTTCCCAGAAGCAAAGCCATGCGGATTAATTTTTCTCTGGTCAATCCAAGCTCCTTCTCAATGTCCTGAACCAAAAAGAAAGGAAAGTGTTTAAGCATGAAACTGTTACACTAGAAATTACTCATCCTTCACAGGTACAGACCTCCATGAAGTATGTCTCTACATATTTGCGGTCATCAAATATATTCTTGTAGACACTACGTGCCCCGAATAAAAAAGACATCAGAGTCATCAGTCACAACACCATCCACCAGTTTTTGCAAGCTCCAAATAAGCACATTGTGCTTCTGCTTCCATGGAGCAATAAATATGGCAGCCAAACATTTGCATAGTTCCTACAAAAAACTCAGACGCATCAACAACAGGGGGGATCAAGAGTTCTAATTCAGACCACCAGGTCAGTACCATATGATGGTATGGTACTTATGTAAAGACCATCAGGTTATAACATATGTACATGACCAAGTAATCAATTCATATAAAAGATGTTGCTGTACAATAGTTCTTATCAGAAGATCTAACATGCCAGCAAATTTCAAAAGAATTTTCCTCTGAACAGACTTGCCTTACATGTATGGAATGCATAATGAAGGGAAATTGAGTATGTGCTCCCATCAAAGAAGATTTCAGATTTTTACAACAACAACAATAACAAAAAACCTTATCCCACTAAGTGAGGTCAGCTACATGGATAACACAATGTCATTGTGCTCTATCATTAACCAAGCTTTTAGGAACATTGTTAATTAAGAGATTTCATTCAACAACTTCCATAAATGTTTTTTTTTTAGTCTTCCTCTACTTTTTATAGGGCTTAAAATTATCTATTCCACTCTCCTCACTAGTACCTCCCACGGCCTTCTCTCTACATTTCTAGATTTCAAATATTTAATTAAATTTATTTTATGTTTACTAAATTCTTTAGATTTCGTTTCTTTTGCTTTTACTTAAATTAGGTTACCATTTATTTAG